GCCTTGATTTATTGATTGGCAAATCCCCCACTTAATAGCCGTACAGCTCGGCCTGGGGAGAAGGGGGCTCCTGTGCCCTGGGTCGGGGTCTGGGCTGCGGAGAGGGGGGACATGGCCGCAGGGCCTTCCCCCAGCACCTGGGCCACACGGCAGGACCTTCCGGCCCCTACCCCAGGCCCTCAGGTGGCCACCCTCCCTAACACCGTGTTTCCCCCAAAATAAGACAGGGTCTTATATTTATTTTTCCTCAAGAAGACACCCTAGGGCTTATTTTCAGGGAATGTGCTATTTTTTTTTAAGTACGGTACAACAATCTACATTTATTCAAATATAGTTAAGTCGTCTTCTTCTGGAACATCATCGTAACTCTCCAAACCCCAAATTCCATCCTGAATTTCTTGCGACTCTATTTCCTTTAGAACCATTGGCCCCGATCTCTCATGTTGAGCAACAGAGCTCTCATTAAATGAGCAGGGCTGGCTTATTTATCAGAGATCCAGTGAGCACTGGGTCCAGTCTGCACCATGGAGCAGAGATGATCTCTCTGGGCTCAGTAGGACACTACTTGCTGAAGCTTTTCCCCTATCCCCTGGTGTTTGTGGGGGGTGAGAGAGGCCCACAGTGCTGAGTAAAATGGCAGCCACAGCTTTCTTTCTTCCCCCTGGGGACACACAATACCTAGAGCCCAGCGTCTCACTCCTCACTTCACTGAGAATTTCTCCTCAAAGCCTCAGCTTGCAGCGCGCACAGGATGACCAGGACCTGACAGGGGGAGCCGACCTTGTTGGTGGCGCTGCCCGCACCTTTCCGGTCACCTCTGAGATAGTAGCTGTCACGATGGGGCAGTTGGGAAGGGCTGCTCGTCTTCTTTACTGCTCCGAGATGAAATGCATGGGCTGTGCAGACACGCTGTGCAGCCACGGCCAACACTAGGTCTTATTTTCGGGGTAGGGCTTATATTGCACAAATGCTTAGAAATCCTGCTAGGGCTTATTTTATGGGTAGGTCTTATTTTGGGGGAAACACGGTAAACACGGCAACTCCTGAACCTACTACACCCAAGGCAGTGGTGCTGGTTCAGCTAACTCAGGAGGCAGGAGGCAGAGTGGACTGATCTCAATGGCTCTCCAGCTTATTCCTTTATAGCCACGAAGCCCAGAATCAGGCCAACTGTGTGAGTTTGAATCCCACCTCCACTGTTTATAAGCCTTGGAGAAATGCCTTCACATCTCAGTGCCTCAGTTTCCTCATCTGTCAAAAATGTGTGTAATAATAATACCTACCTATAAGGCTGTCTTGGGGGTTGAATCAACTAATATTCATAGAGCACTTAAAACAGTATCTGCAGTATAACAGATGCTATATTTGTGTTAGGTTAGAAATCCTTCCTCGTCCCTAAGAAACCCTAATACACAACCCCAGTGGTCAAGTGGAAACAGAGTTGAATGTGGCCTGGCTGGCGTGAGGGTGGCCAGCTGGGCCTCGCACATCACTCTAGTGTCCTGCTTCCCACGTGCCACTGAGGCCTCCCCAAGGCCCAGCAGGGGCCTAGGGCACCCACTTCGAAAGCCACCACTTATTGTGAGGACTAAACATCCTCAGCTTTCCCCTGAACACATAAATCCGCCCATGCTAAAAAATCTTCTATGGAAAGACGAACAGGCTCGCTTGGACAGGCCACAGTGAGCACCCCAGCCTGGCTCTCCAGCCTGCCCCCCCCCCTCCTCAGTGTCCTGCACACGGCCGGCCAGGGGGAGGCTCACGCTGCCCCCGCCCCCAGGGCACCACGGTCAGGACCACACTGCAGCCAGCTGGCCTCACGGACACGACAGCGGCAACCACACACCCCTCCAGGGAAGAACTTTTCTTAATGACAAAAACCATCACAAAGCCCTCAAGCAACCTCGTGACAACAAAAGAAAAGGCACAAGTGGACAGGGACCTCTATCTAAACTCACCGGCTCACCACGAAGGCATCTCAGGGTTAGCCCAGCACCTGCTGCACGTCGGGTATTTATTAGACCAGCACCAGAAAGGCAAGGAAGAGAAGGCAGGTCCCAGGCTCCCCGGGGCCAGAAACCTCGTAGGAAAGCTGATACCAGCCAACGTGCATACTTTGTGATATGAATTATATACGTGTACATATTTTTAGATATAATATGTATGTGTAATATACAAATATGCTCAATGTGCACAATGAGGCTGAGAGAAGACGGCTCCCACCTCCCTGGGTTGTGGGGTGGGGACAACTGGGCTGGGAAGGAAGAAGACGGCCGCAGGGGTCACTTGCCAATAGGTGACCTTGGTTATTGGAAAGGAGAACACGGGGCCTATTTGGGCACGCATGACAACCCCAGTACTCTTCAGCTGTAGGATCTCGGGCACCTCCGAGCACGCTCACCACCAGGCAGGCAGACAGGAGGCGATCAGTGCATCGCCCAGGAGAGAAAGCGAGGACACCTGGCAGAGGTTGGGTCCGAATGAGGCCGTGGGGAGATGCTTGGCTGTGTTCAAAGTCGGACAAGCAAGGGACCTCAGGGGAGCCCAGGGACAGTGTGGCCTCGGGCCTGCATTTATGCACTTTATCATCCTCATCAGCAAAATCTGAACTATCATCCCTTCTCCTTCCTGTCTCCCTGGGGTGTCTGGGGACACATGAGAACCAAGCTGGCGGGTGGGGCAGAGCCCGAGGAGCTGAGATTTCAGAAGAAAGGCCAGCTAGGAGCAAACGGACCATGACTTTACCTGCGGAAGCCATGTGTGGGCAATGGTTGAGTGTTTCTTTGGGTTTATCAGAAAATCCTAACAGAAGAGAAGTTATTGAACCGAGACCTGGAAAGAATGTGCAGATATATTTTAAAACATTGAACTGAAATCCTAAAGCCCCATAATAGGACACCTTCTCTGCCAGGCTCGGCTGGCTTTAAAGCCTCGTGCTGTGACCGGGAGCCTCATCGGAAGGTGGTTTAACTTGGCTCTTTTGAGCCCAAGGCCACCCTGGAGCACATGACCAGGAGCCCCTCTCAGGACCGGGCAGCCGGGACCCTAAGCCTGGCTCCTCATTTGAGATGTCGGAATGTGATTTTCAGAAACGGTTACTTAAACCGGGAGTCGGAGCTAAGATGAGGACGGGAGCCTCAGTCATCACATGCCGGGCTTCCGAAATGGGACCTGCCGGGACGCAGGCTGCACACCCGCCAGCCCGTCGACAGGCACGATTAGCCCGGGAGGAAGGCAGGAGGAAGGAGGTGGAGAGCAAAGTGAGAGGTCCAACCTTCCTGCCAAAAGTCTCAGAAACGCCAAGCACACGGCCAAACAGCCTCTCACAGAGTATCAGTTTGCACACTACGGCACACGCGTGTAAGGGAGCACAGAATGAACACGTGCCTTGCCTCCCAGGGGTAAAACTGGACACAGTCCAACTCCACAGTGCACACGACACACGCACACATACAGGCTACTGAGTCGTGCATTAAACCAAGACATGTGCAAGCAACATTTAATCAACTTATACAAGTGAAAGGTCAAGTTCATAACTGGGGTTGGGGAGAGGAGGAGACTTAGGTATGCCAATTGCCTTAAATATTTTGCAAAGAAATAGGTAGAATTTCACAATGTAGCATCAACACAAGCTTAGCTCTACTGGTTTCCAGTATCCCTTAGTATATATTCATCTCCTTCTACCCAGCCACTCAGAGCCCCCACGCCTTCTGCCTGCAACCCCCATGGCTCCTATAAATGTCCAGTATTACAAGAACTTGTAGACCTACCTTTCTGTCCCTGTTAGGATGGATGCCTCTTGAAGGCATGGTCCATAACCAACTCATCTTTTCCTGTTGTTGGATGAAGGTGAAACATTTCAGAGTTTAACCTCAAGAAATCCCACTCCTACAAACTTCCTCCATTTAGTATGAGGTTGGAGATTATTCTACTGTCTTGTGTGTAGGAAGATGCAAGAGAGTCCAATTCTTCCACCATCAGATTCCAGGCTACTTCCAATGAATAACAGGCAAGACTTAACATTGTATCTATGGTCAAGAGATTGTTGAGAGAACTGAGGCTGTAACTTTTACCACTAAGCAGCTTAGGAGCCTGTTACATATTTGCCTTATTTATATCTTTACAAATTGCATACATTAGATATTTACGTGCACATTGTTTTTTTACTTCTGTGGTCTACAGTCAATGAAATATGGGCGCCTAACTTTGGCATAAAGGGAGGCCAAAGCCAAGCCTAAAATTCAGATCTCCCAGGCCAGGTGTTATCATGTAGATCTCAGGGCCTGCAGGATTCACACTGTCCTCCCCCTAGAAATGTCGTGGTCCTCTTGTGCAGACATTCACACCAACTGGGCCTTTCAACCAGAAGGCTCTGGCTATTCAAAGACAATTGGAGAAGACTCTAAAGTTCCCAATATCTAGTCATTTGAGAATTTGTGACCAAAAGCAAATGCATTTAAAGAGATGCCGTTGCGAGTGAAAAAACATGTAAGCCCTCTGAGCCTATCTGCAGGAAGTGCCAACTTAACCCAGTCATGTGCTGAGTAGCCACGGGCAGCTGGGGCCACCTCTCACACAGTCAATGCTAGAAAGAATTAGGGATTCATCTGACACTAACACCAAATTGGAACCCAGCACTTCTAGACACCTGTTAAGAAAGCAGAAGACCATACCTTATTGGTTAAGAAAAATGCCCCTATAATCAATCATTCAGCTCTGCAGTGACAATTGCAAAGCCAATAAACAGAACTGATGATGCTGCTTGCATTTTTTTTTTTCTCCTTCTAAAATAAATACACCATAATCCCGCAGCTCAAAGCACGGTGTAAATTTGAGAGATCAGTAATCAGGCTTCGATGTTAAATAACAATCCTTTTTCATTCCCTCCTTTCTTTGAAAGTAGCCAAGAATAATTCAGAGTCAACAGGAACCCAGAAAGCACAACTGCCCAATAGCAGGTGGGGTTTCATTTGCCGGATATCCCATCCCCCAGCTCCTACCGGAAAGGCTCAAATACCGATGGGGCATCCACCGTGTGCCGGCTGCAAGATCCCGGGAGCAGGGATAAAGGCGACATCACAAACCTCTGCCTGTGAGGCGTGTGTTCCAGGCAGAGACACAGGGCATACGCAAGTAAGCACAAACACTCAATTATACATGGTGACGTTTCTGCAAAGAAGAATGCTACGAGGGCAGGAAGAGCGTTACAGCGATGGCAAAGGCCCCTGGGAGGAAACGATGCCAAGCTGCGACCCGAAGGATGAGACAAAGTGAGCTGTGTGAACCGGCCCAGGGAGCGGCCTGCTGGCTGCACCCCAGGCATAGCTGGGGCGGACCCCAGCTCCAAGGCCACGCTGCACAAAGCGGAAATTCTGAACAAGTTAAAAAAAAATGGAACTGGGAGAACACAAGATGCATGAAGGTACAAGGCTAAGGAACATGCATTTTTTACAAACTGCAGACATGACCTTGAAGTAAAGTAGGAAACACAGACGGCCCAGGAGAGCGGTCCTTGTTCTAGCAGCTACAACACGTTCTGAGTGAACGAAGCAGAATGGCGGCGTGTTGCCTTCACTGGGTAACTCATCTTGCCGGGGCACCTTCGCCCCTCGTGGCCCAGTGGGAAGACACTGATGAGAGCCCGGCACGTCCACTCAACACCTTACCAATGTTAGTGTGAAGCTGGGTTAAAATTTTAAAAAGTAAAATGAAGGCTCCCTGATTCCCAGTCCCTAGCTGGGATAACCTCCCCCAGGCAAGCCCGGAAAATCCCTAGGCTGCCAGGTCACCGGGGCTCAAAGTCCTCCTCCTCCCTGCCCCACCCACCGATGGAAAAGTACTGGCATCTCAGCGGCTGGGTTTCTTCCAGGGGTCCCTGCTGGGAGCATGTCTATGCCCTTCCCTCCCCGCTCCAGCCCACAGGGAAATCCCACCCCGCTGGCTGGGGTGAGCCCCAGCATCCCTCTCTGGCCCCGTTGGTTTCACACCCTTGAAGGATCCTGCCCAGATACCCAAGCAGGCAAGTGTGGCCTGGGGCCAGGAAAAAAGCCCTGAAAAGCAGTGAGTGAGCTCTGCAGATCCCATGGTGCGGAGCTGGCCTGGGACGCTGCCCACGGGGGAGAACAGTCTGGCGCAGTGAGGAGGGGAAGGGACCCCCCGCCCCACCCGAGTCCCGCGGGATGGGCGCTGGCTCATCCCGAAGTGGGTGTCTCCCGAGGACATGGAGGACCCTGGGCAGAGGTGGGTGGCGAGTGGACGATGGGGCCTCATGCTTCTTTTCATAAGGTGACACACCTGAGCGGCCAGGCAGGGCACACCTGGATGCCAGGGCAGGCCAAGCTCTGCAACAGTGGCCCACTGTTCCCTGCGCGGAGAGACCTGGCAGCCGCGCCCCACACAGACAGGGGGGCTTTTTTCCTCCTCGGTGGGCCACGCCTTCCCCGGGCTCGCACTCCCTCCGTCCCCGGGTTCCATCCAAGCCCCAGGCTCTGACCACAAAAAGCGCCCTTTTCTTTGGCGGACTCACCTCAGACGTGAGGTGCCGCAGAGCCAAACTGTCTGCTAAAAGGACATCCCCAGCACATTTCTCCCCAGGCCGAGGGCGTGTGGCCGGCGGCTGGCCGCCACAAACAGCACGTCCTTGCCCCCGTCCCTGGGCCCCACCACACTGCTCCTCCGTTCCCGCTTTATTTATGGCACCGGGAGCCGCGGCCTAAAGGAGCTCTTGGCCTGTTCGGGGTGCTCCCATCGGGCCCAAAGCAAACTGGGCAAATCCCTGGCAGAAACCGCATTGCTGAAACACAGAGCTTCAGGTCTCGGTCCATGTGGCACGGCCGTCCCGCCCCAACGTCTCTGCAAAAATGCAAAAATAAGAGTGTGAACAGCCTCCTCCAGCAGAGAAAGGAGGCGACAGTCTTCAGCGACACACTCAGTGTGCTCTTGGGGGCTTCTGCCCGACAGTGGATGCCAGATAGCTGGACCCTTGTCCCAGAAGTTTAGAGGATTTCTTGTTTTTTAAAAAAAAAAAAAAAAAAAATTTTTTTTTTTTTTGGTCACACAAAACCTGGTTGTGAAAAGAAAATGCCAACCCTGTTTGACAGACATCAGATTTATGATCGTTTCTTAAGCCTCAAATACGTCACAAGGATTGGCCCACCCACTGCACTGCCCTGACTGTAAACACGGCCGGTGCCCGGCCCCGCGCTGCCCCTCTTGGACCTGTGGTCCTCCGCCTCTGAGCAGCCCTTGTTTCCCTCCCCCCGGTCTCTGGCGGGTTAAAAAGATGCCTCGCTGTATATATACGGAGGGTACACCACGGAGCTCTCCCGGCCAGACCTCCAAGACAAACACGGCCCGCTCACGCCTCCCCCGTCTGCAGGCCGCAGATGTTAATAAACACGGTTGGGGTTTATGGTCTGCCCATCGGTTTTCTCCATCCATTTTACACTCGACAAGTCAGGAGAGCCATTTTTTTTCGCCCTTCCCTTAACGTACAAACTCAGTAAACTGTTGTAAGGCTTGGCAATAAACTTATGAATTTTGGCCTCCATATGTGGCTGGGAATAAAAGTAAACACAGGGCGTGAGCAACTGCGTTTCAGGTCTGTGCCCCTGTGGGGGCTGAGTCTGCAGAAACCAGGACTGGGAGAGACTCGTTTGCCCTTTGCAACAAGGAGATGCGTTTTCCTAAAGGTAGGGATGCTCTTTGCCACAGGAAAGAGATGTCAAAGTCCCCTGGAAAATTTAGGGTCAGGAGTACAGATTTGGACAACCCCCCCCCACCCCCAGAGTACTATTCCTAATCGAATCCCTCTCTGGCCAGGTGAGTCATGGAGTAAGTACCCTTCAGCATCTCTGGCTAGGATCTAAGCCTAATGGAGGAAAGTCCCCAGATCAGAAGGCTTTGCCAAAGTCAGTCCTATCACCAAATCCACTTTTCTGATACCGTTTATACAGAAAAAGGAAATAGGGAGATGTTCAGAAAATAAAGCAAAGTGTCCAGTGGAACTGGACAGGTCTACTTCAAACATGAAGGTTCTATTTGATTTTATAGGTCAAAAAACTTGTGGGTCTTGAGCCCCTTTCAAATCAAAAGTCCAGCTTACCCATTCGTAGTGAGAAGTAGGACAGAAAACATCACATACTGGAAAAAAATGTGCTGGGTTATAAGTCGGCATTTATGATTTTTCTTTAGGAGAAGAAAAAAAGAAAAAGAGAGAGAGAGAGAGCTCTAACATAGTATGTGACTGAAGTGGAATACTGCATGTCTTCTTGGGAGTGTATTTGCTTTAGCAAAGTAATAAAACAAAAATTCATAAAGTAAAGGTTTTGGTGGTAACAATTCAGTGGAAATATCTGTGAAGCCTTAACCAATTGCACGATACTGAAGATGTTCCCTCTGGAAATGGCTTCTTACCAAGTGGGGAAATAAATGTCAGGCCAGGCATGTGTGCTAACAAGGGGACAGTGGTCCTTACAATCCATCTTTCTTCGATCCTGGAGAAGAGGCTAATAATCCACCCCCAAACACTGCATAATGTAGCCACATATGTATGAAAACTACATCAGGTAAACCGCTAGGAATTGTAGCTTTGTGGAGGTTTTTAGCCATACGCTTGGGACTTAACATGAACAGAAGATAGTTCGGGTTTTACATGCATGCATTTTATATCTCATTTTGTTTTATGTTTTTAATGGACCTTTAGGGGGAATGTTAAAGCTTTTTACCTCTGGATAAGAAATTACAGAATCATCGAATTAAAACCTCAGAAAGACTCATGGAAGGTCAGTTTTGAATGCCCTGGCTTTGTCCTTGGCTATAACATGGGGCCACAAGGCATTGCAGCTAGCCGGCTCTGCTTGTAGACCTATAGTGTGCTTTAATATTTTTGGAATTAGGTGATGAAATGTAAAGACTGGAAGATATTAAGATTTTTACATAAAATTCTGGATTTCTGGATGATCTTACAAAATGAGAAAATCTGGCAACCCTGCACCTGTATTCCTACACAGCCACAAACAGCTAGAGCTGAGAAGCGGCTGCCTCTGTAAGCCAGGCAGGTGCCCACCAGGGTTCCACAGTGCACACCACGCCAAAGCACTGGCCCTTATGTATTCATTGGATTACCTTCCTGACCCTTTTAAAAAAATCATCTCCACGTGAGGATTCATTCTTGACCTCTCTCATGTGAATGCCCAAGATGGCTATTAATCTGCAGCATGGCTTGGTAAAAAGAGGTTCGCAGATAAAGGAGACTTTAACATCAGTGATTGGCACGTTTAGATTTTTCTGGTGCCAACCAGTAGAACTCTTAGCGCTGTGACATTTCGAAGTTCCTAACCATAAAGCAATCTGGACTTTAGATCCTGGCATTCCAGATGTTCCTTAGCGGCAGCGTGAAGGGACCCAAGAGAGCATCCGAGAAACATCTCTCTCCCCCACCACACACATACATTGGAGTTACCGTCATGTGCAAGTCACAATAGTAATGTGTTCTTGTCTAGGGACTTATACCGGAGTAAATGTGTGTGACTGTGTAAGAGCACAGCAACCAGTTTGGAGGGGCTTCACCTGGCCAAATCTGGGACCATCTGAACACCAAAACAGTTCAGCAAAGTAGTGACACATAAACCACTGAATGACTAGGAATTCATGAGTCTACACCAATAATGAACAGATGAAGGTATAAATAAATAGGGGAGAAGGAGGGTCTGTTGCTGACCATAGAATGCCAAGTGCCGAACAGTTAAGTGTTGAGGGAGCACAGCAGTTGGGGAGTCATTGGCAACCATCCTGGTGAAGGACAGCCTGCTTGATCCGTCAAGCAGGAATCATCACTGGATGCTAAATCCAAGAGGAAAGTGTTGATGAGGATCTTCGCCTGAACTTAAAGTGTCTCCCCACAGATTGCTTATTAGTTGCAAGAGAGAAAAAACACATTCATTGTACAGTGGAGAAATCAGACAACACTCTACACAGATGATCAAAATGAGCATGACCCACTGGGGACAGGTGGACATGGGGTACCTCCCGAAGTGACATGCTGAGAAAGACACCACATCGCGCCTATGCAGGATTCTAGCCAAGAACGCATCACCTCAGTCTAATCACAGGAAGAGTTCAAATGCAAAATGATGAATTTTCCATTTTTTTTTTAAAAAAAAGGAGGAAAGGGGACTGTATTCCTCAAAAATGTCCATATTATAAAAAGCAAAGAAAGGCTATGGACATATTCCCAATTAAAAGAGGCTAAAGAGATATGACAGCTCAATGCAATCGCTGACTCTAGACTGGATTCTTTACTGGAAGGAAACAATGTTGCAAAGGACATTATTCTATCAACTGACAAAACTGGAACATGGATGAGATTAGCTAAAGAATCGTATCAATGTAAATTTATGAAGGTGATAAGTGAACTGCGGTTACATAGGAGGATATCCCCCTTCTTAGGAAATATACACTGGCGTATTTAGAAGTCCCATGATGTATGAACTTAACCTCAAACAGATTAGAAAAAAAATTACAAAGAGAAATAGAGTCCATTAAAGCTGATGGAGTCAAATGTTAAGAACAGGTGAATCTGGGTAAAGGGGCTGTGAGTGTTCTTTGTGTTGTTTTTACAATGTTTGAAATGATTTCAAATTAAAAGCTAAAAAATGTGTGTGTACACATGTGTGTATATAAAAGCAAGACAGCACACAAGCACACTTTAAGTACAAACTTGTGGGATAAGCCACTCGAATGTGGAGGAGTAGGCACCACAGATGGAAGGGGGAGGGTGCATGTTCAACTTCAATGCCAAAAGTGAACTCAAGAGTGTCAGGGTGAGGATAAAGGAACAAACTAAAAAGGTGGTGCTTCCGGTCCTCCCTGCTGTTTTTGTGATTTGGGGAGGGAAAGGGTTAAGAGGGATAGGAAAAGTAAGCTCAGAATGTGCCATAACAGGTCATGTGCCCTGGTAGGGTTGTTTTCATTCCAGACTGTTTTCATTCCCCTCCCCCTACCTCCATCCCATCCTATCTGCATATCATTTACCTGCATTTAGTTAGAAACCATGGTAACGAGGAAGCCTGAAGAGATGGCTGAAACGTTAGGAGGACACCATGCCACAATGGGGCCATGCTTCTATTTTCTGGGGAACCAGATCCTTTAGTGACAAAGGGTGAGGTGACAGGCAGGGTGCTGCTGACTGTTCCAACAACCGGATTTGACCTTTATGGGACAAATGAACTGCCTGCAGCCGTGGCCAGCTGGTGGCCCGGAGACAACAGAAGCCCAGGGTGTCAATGTCCAGGTGCCCCTCTGCACATCCTGCAGGTGGGGGCCGTCATGCTCAGCAACCGAGGCAAGAGGAACCTGCCTAGTCTCTGCTGCTGCTCTCGGGTCCCAGGGGGCAGTTACCTCTCCCGAGTCCCTTCCCCAGCCATCCCCGGAGCTCCGTAACCCCCCCGTGCAGCCTGTGATTGGACAAGATCCCACAGAAAGGCACAAGGGATGGAATGTTTGCAGCCCACCCTCAAATTCCTATGTTAACACCTTAATCCCCAATGTGACAGCATTTGGAGATGGGGCCTTTGGGAGGTGATGAGGTCATGAAGGCAGAGCCCCCACAGTGGGATAAGTGGCCTTATAAGAAGAGACCCGAGAGGGCTTGGTTTCTGCCTCTCTCCCGGATTCCTCACTCTGCACCCTGCAAGGCAAGAATGCAGTTGTCTGTAAACCCAGACGAGAGGCCTTCTCCAAGAACTTGACCATGCCGGCACTCTGGTCTTGGACTTCCCAGCCTCTCGAACCGTGAGAAATAAATGTTTATTGTTTAACCCACCTGGGCTATGGCAATTTTCTCACAGCCGCCCAAGCTAAGACACAAAAGTAAAGGCTTTACATCAATGAATGCACGGCTGTGAGCTGACAGCGTCCACTCTTCCAAGCGTCTAAGATTTAAAGCAACCCATGAGGACCCACGCCTGATGCTAGGCACACAAGGGTCTCTGTGCCACAGAAAACTGGTTTCACCCACACCGGGTGGCATTAGCCACATAAACAAAAACATGCACTCACTGCCATTCCTCAAGCTCCGACTTTAAGTGCATTTTCTGCCTGGATTTATGCAATCCTGCGGCAGAAGGCGCGTGCTAAGGGCCAGTACCGCAGGAGCCCACACACCTCCAGTGGGACCAGCTCCCCTTGGGGCCAAGAGATCCAGAGGCACACGGTGGTCCAGGAGCAGGTTTAAATGCCACTTGAATCCCAAAGATGTTCCTTTATATCATTACTATTTTTTTAACCCTCGGGAAATAGCGTGAAGCAGCTCCTGCCTCCCGAGCCCACTGCATGGGTTCTCCCCCATGGCTCCCCGCCCGGCCAGGCTCAGAAGCGACTGTGAGGAGCGCAGAGGAAATACCCCGGCGCCCACAGGCACCCAGCGGCTGCGTGCGCCCTGGTGGTCCCCGTCGAAGCGGTCACGGCTCTCGGCCAGACACCCCTGGTCCTTACGGCTCTGGCTCTGCCAACCACAGACATCTTCAAACAGAGCCCATGAAAGGAAACATTGCTCCGGCTCTGCTCCCACCGCCATCCTGGGAGACAGGGTCCACAGGGAAATATTTGCTCAAAGTAACTCCCTGGTTTGGGGGGGGGGTTTACCTGCCATAGAGGAAGTGTGAAAAAGAAGAAGAAGAAAAAAAAAAAAAAGCATCAGAAGCTTCTGGGAGAGTAGCCTGTGGAGAGCCGGGAAAAGAAATGTCACCCTTGCTCTCTCCAGACCCGCCTGAATTTGAGGTTTGGCACAAATAGCAAGACAGGGCTGGCCAGGAGAAAGGCGTGGCCCGGGGAAGGACGTGTCCAGGAGTCCAGCAACCGTAAACTCGAGTCCCGACCTCGCCCGCCTCCCGGCCAGGACTGCCGGTGACTCACTCCGCTTCTCCTGCCTTGGTGGCACCATGCAGTCAAACACAGGACTTCTGACCTCACTGGGCAGCAGGAAGATGAGCTCATGGTTATAGAGCGCTTTGAAGATGAAAAAGCCTGGGCCTACAGGGAGCTATTATTATTATAAGTACCTGTGAAAAAAGAGAAAAAAGATTCCCATCTAGGTCTAATAATTATCTCCAGGTAGTCACAGAACGAAAGGGGCAGGGAGCAGGTCCTCGTGGGCAGCGGGCCGTGCCTCTTAGCCGCTCACGCTCTTGCCTGTGGCGAAGAAGACGGGGCTTCTCGAAGTGTGAGACCGTGGAACATTCCAGCAGTGGGGGGTGGGGGGGGTGACGGTTTGCTTTTAGGGGGTGAGAAGACGTAGCACAAAATAGCATCGGATCACAGAGGGAGAATGCAGCCCCTCTCCCATCCGATTCCACCTACGGAGAAAGGCTCAGATTGGTGCTGCCAAGTCTGAGACGTCTCTCCACGTCTCTCCACATCTCTCCACGTCTCTCCACGTCTCTCCGTGTGTTAATTTCCCTTCGTTATAAGGAGAAAGATAAGCTTGAGCTCGGAGCCTCTGCAGGCTATTCATAGCTTTTTCCTAGAATTTATAAACATTGTTTGGATTTCATTGTGCTCATTACTTATATATTTGCTTTAAATATGCGAGTTAAGTGGCCCTGGTTCACTACATTTCATTTTAAAATCATGTTTCTTCAGATCAGAGTTTCTCAGCCTGGGCTCCATCGGCACTTGGGGCTGGAACGTTCTCTGTGGTGGGGGCTGCCCTGGGCATCAAGCATGTTAAGCACCCACCTTTGGCCTCCTCTACTCACTAAATGTGAAAAGGATCCCTCCACACCACCCTCCCCCCAGCTGTGACAACCCAGAATGTCTCCAGACACTGCCCAATGCTGCCTGGGGAGCCACCCCTACCCCCCACCTCCTCTACTAAGAACCGCTGCTTTTAGATCAATTCAGTTAAAACAACAACAAAAAACTTAAACAGGTCTAATCGGCAAGGTTGGATTGAGACGGCTCCAGTTCGGGAGAACCTGTAACCCAGAGCCGTCCTCCCTGCCCATGTCTGCTCCAGCTCCAGAAAGACGGAAGGTCCCCAGGGCAGGCACGTGTTCTGGGCCCCTCGTGTCCAAATGCCATCCTTCCAGATGGCTCCGTTTACGGCAGGGGTCCCATCTGTGCTGACCGATGACAAGAGTTTTTAACCATTTCTGGAAGTCACCATCAGGAGTGTTTGGAGACAGTGTCCATTCCAGGCCCTTTCCCTGGAGTCAGGCCCCCCTTATCAGATCTTGAGAACTCCATCCACACCTACTTGTCCTGGCTGGAGCCACTGCCCAGAGGCCAGAGCAAGGATTACAAGAAGCGAGGACAGGGCCTAATCCAGAACGTTTTTCAAGTCCCCGAAGGGCCTCGGGAGCTCTGGTCCTTCCTTCCGCCTTACCAATGGAGAAACCGAGGCACAGAAGGAAAGCCTCCCTGGCGTGTCCCAGGACAGATTCAGTCCGTGACACCACAAGGCCTAGAACTCAAGGCCTCCTCCGGGATAAATCTCCTCCAATGCTGCACTACACATAGCAAGCAGCACCAGGCTGAAGAACATGTCGCTGCCCTGATACTCAAAACATAAGGCAAAGGCTTATAAATGGGCTGCCTTTGACATTTAAAAATCAGCAGCAGAAAAACTACGTCAATGAAATAATTAAAACCTGCATTGGCAGCCGGCCAGACAGCAGGCAAGGGGGGAGCCTGGCCGGAGGCCTCCTGGGGCCCCTGGCACCCCCAGGCGGGGCCTCTGAGCAGCGGCTATCGGGGGCTCCTCCTTGCTCGCGCCCATCTCCGGGTTTCCACGGGGTGTTTTCCTTCCATCTGCCTCTCCTACCTGGCACTTTCATGCCTCACCTCTTTCTCCCAAGATCACAAGGAAGTTAAATTGCCAAACTTCCTGGTTCATGCAAAGTTAAGACTGTCAATGAAACACATGCCAGAGAAAATAAAGTCTAATTTTGAAGACCTTGTGTCAACGCCGCTCAAAATACTTGTCTGTCTCGGGGACCAGCAACCAGGCATGTAAAACGAAGTCACAGCGCACAAAAGGGGTTTCTTGGACCTTCTGGGACATTATCCTCCAGTCCTGTCTTACAGGGACCCCTCGTACATTGTGCTCTGGGTGTTCCTGAGGACACCCCCGAAGGCAGCTTTTATTATATCCCCAGTGTTCACGTGAGAAACCTGGAGGCCACGTATCTTGTAGCTCTAAGGTCCCCAACCCCTGGGCTGTGGACAGGTACTGGTCCGTGACCTGTTAGGAGCAGGGCTGCACAGCAGGAGGTGAGCAGTGAGCGAGCAAAGCTTCATCTGTATTTACAGCCACTCCCCACTGCTCGCATCTCTGCCTTCTGTCCGATGAGCAGCGGCATTAGATTCTTATAGGAGTGCAAACTGTGCAAGTGAGGGATCTAGGCTGCACACTCCTTATGAGAATCTAATGCCTGATACCTGAGGTGGAGCTGAGGCCATGATGCTGGCATTGGGAGTGGCTGCAAATACAGATTATCATTAGCAGAGAGGTTTGACTGCACAGAGACCATAATAAATCAATTGCTTGCAGACTCATATCAAAACCCTAACAGTGAGTGGCAAATGACAATGTAATAACAATAGAAATAAAGTGTGCAATAAATGTGATGCACTTGAATCATCCCCCAAACCATCCCCCCACCCCCACACCTCCTGGTCTGGGGAAAATTGTCTTCGAGGAAACCCATCCCTTGTGCCAAAAAGGTTGGGCACCACTGTTGAAACTGACATGACTATTGACCGAGGGTTTAACCAGGCTCCTCATTTCTGATACCTGCAGAGCCGCCACCTCAACATGCTACTTCTTTATAAGCAAAGCTAAAGTTGCCGGGTTACCCTAACTTTGCAGTTTGGAGAACCAAACCCATGTAGGCTAGTGACAGATGTCAACAAGGTGACTGAAAATTGCTATCCTATCAACAGGCTAGCCCGTCAATCAATTAATCAATATTCACTGAGCCTGCCACATAAAATCCCAGAGCTAGCTCTCCAGGCACCAGCCAGACACTGGAACGGCATGAATGAATGGCATGGTGACCAAATGCTGATCAGTCAAGAGAAAATCTCTGAGCGCTGCTATGTGGAAGAGCTGGGACTCAGAGCCGGGTCAGAGTGGTGAGAGAGACACAAGACCACCAGGTAGAGACATGGAATTCTGTGCCCTTGCTCGAGTTCTCTGCAGCCCAGACACGGGGACACTGTGCAGTCCTGCGCCATCAACTGCATCTGGGAGGCTCTCAACTGTCTGTTAAGCGTGCTACATGCCCTCCAAAAACAAATACAAAACAAAACAAAAATCACAGACAATAATACCCAAAATCAGTTCTGTTCAGCTTTAGGACATAGATGATTTTTTTTAAGCAACAAATTTCTCCTTTGCATAGAAGAGCTTAACAGGAGATGGCCTTCCTTTATTCAAAAAGCATCTGTGATGTCCCCATTATGTGTCAGCGCCTTGCCAGGCCCTGGGGACAGAAGGAATAAAACACAGATCTCGGCTCTTTGGAAGCTTCTGGGCTAGATTGCCGGACCCTGAGGATAGATGAAAAATCAACAAAAGTTCTAAAAATGCATGCCATGGATGAATTGCAACACTGCAGCCAGGAACACCACCCCTGACACTCACCAGGGCTTTATGGGTTTCCAAGTGCCTAGGTGAACATGGTCCCTTTTGATGATGAAGACAAGCCCCAAGAATGAATGAACTAGGGTATTATAGGCCCTAAACAGAGCCAAGATAAGCCATATCCGTCCAAGAGGGACATACGCGGTGGATGGGATGGGACGGTTTTCCTCACTCTGGCTCCTCCTACTCTACAAAGTAAACTCCGCTCCTGGAATCCCACACAGGTAAAACCCAGTGACCTGGGAAGGATGCTCATGGAAGAGTTGTTTGTTGTCGTGCCAACGAGTTTGGGACCACGTGCATCCATCACCGGGAATAGGGAATCCACAAAGAGTAGCACATGCACTTTGCTCCTGCCGGGATGAGGAGTTGGCTGACATTCTCTGTCAACAGCCAGATGCCATTTAGGCTTCATGGGCCAGGAGGCCTCGGTGACAATCGCTCAGCTGTGCTGCAGCAGTGAGAAGCGGCCACAGACAAGGCATGGACTAAGCGACACGGCTGAGTGCCAATAAAACTCCATTGACAAAAACAAATGGCCACCCGGATTGGGCCCGGGAGCCACCGTCTGCTGATCAGAACTGGCCCAGAACATTCCTTCCCCAGGTATCTTCCTGGTCTCTGTGCAAATGCTATCTCCTGGGAAAACCTCTCCTGGCCACACTCTGGACGGCACCCCTCTGTCGCCCTGCAGCCCTCGCCCCTCTCTGTTTTTGCAGCCTCGATCATTCCAGACCTATTTGCCCACGTGCTTGGAGTCTGTCCTCCCCCTGGCGCTGGAGGGCCAGGAGTTGTTTCCGTTTTGTTCGTCACTCGAGCCTAGCACTCGGCAGGTGCTCAGTGAACACCTGCTGGGTGAAGAGATAGCCAGGTGCTGTGACATCAGTGCATGTCACCCAATAGTGTACAGTGTCCCACACTTTAGGAAGAGAGAGGTCTCTAACAGGTTGGCCAGGTTGCCAGGCCACCTCCCTAGCCCCGAGGTGCAAAACCACCCCATGCAGATCTCAAGCTATTTTTGTTCTTTTCTTTCTTTCTAAATCTCCAGGGAAACAAGGCAGTGAAGTGCTCACTGGCACCAGGTCCCAGGCCATCGTTCTGTGCCACCAGAGACGGTACATTGAGCCCCCAGCATTTTGTCTGAGAATCTGTCTATCTCTTCAGAACATTCTGTAGAGGACTGTAAGAGTGAGATGGAAAGAAGGGAAAAAAACAAAAAAACAAAAAAAGCCACTCCTGATCGCCCACCCTACATCCACCGACAGCCAGTGCCACCTCTCTTCGGGAGACTGAGGACTGCTATCAGCAAAGAATAATGTCCACCTCTCTTCTTCTAGTGTTGTGGGTTCTTCCTCCCTAAACTCCAAAACCGGTCTCTCCGTGCCGACGTAGTGCAATCTGCCTTCCTAAACCTCAGGGCTTTTCAGCCCACACGGCCTTTGCAGAACAGATTATAATCCCCAGCCTCCCTCCCTTCCTCGTGAGTCATGGAGCAGCTAATCTCCACCGGGGCGGGCTGCGAACTCACTGTCCTGGGTCTCCCAGTGGGGACAGAGATCAGACAGGCTGGCCAGCTGCAGAAAGAGAATCATCCCACCTAATCCGGGAAGGAACCAGACTGGCGCTTTTCCCTAAAGCACGATCCAACGGAACTTTAATCTGTGCTGTTCCCCAACCGCTGGGCCACTCATTTTTCTGCCTCCCTGCTCCTCCGGACGGGACATGACCTACAGGACTACAGGAGCTGCACGCAGCAGCCTCGAAGTCCCTGGCCTCTCAGTCACTCTGCTAGTTCTCGGCCACACTTTCTGTCCAACCGGTTCTGCCCTTTATTTTTGTTTCAGGGAGGATTATCGCCATGGCAATGTCCAGGTGACAGAGGCAGGAGGGGGAAGAAACCCACCTGTATTCCACCCTTAATCCTTTAAAGCCTGTCAGAAAGCAGCAGCCCCAGAAAATGAGAAACCTGGCCGGTGTTTCGTGCCCACCTCGGGACGGAATAAACTAGAAAACAGCTGAGCTGTGACCGGGACGGGCAGGGAGCTCTCCGCGAAGAAGACTGGGCTCGGTCAAGTGTCTCCGAAGGCTTTGCAAATCGCCCCGCACGGGAGCTTTGCCTCATGCCCGCTTTCACGTTCAGAACGAGCGCAGCAGAAAGGAAACAGAAAGCAAAGTCTGAGCTTACGAAAAAGGAAAGTGGCTTTCAAATGTGATTCAGATCACGCTGCAGGATCCGAGGATCAGCAGGGCGCGTGCGCCTCCTATCCGGGCAGTGCCGGTCATTTCTGCCCTTTGCTGTGCCCACGGTGTGGCCACCCTAGCAGCACCTCTACCCAGGGGTAGGCAGGGCAAACAGAACCCAACCCAGTTCCCAGGAATTAGCTTATTGCCCGGTCCACGGGGTTCTCTGCGTACGAGGAACTGGGAGGCCCCGAAAGCTATCGGCACTCACAAAGAACAGGAGGACATGAGGAATTCACTGGAAATCTATGCTGGGATGGACCTCCACAGGTACCTGCGGGGGCTGTCAACACGTACCCACGCCAAGAGTCAGACAGACTCAATGAAACCATAAATGCGAACTTGTAACTGTGGTTTCATCTTTTCAGGGAGGGAGGTCTGTTTTGTTTTAAACAAGCACGAGCTGGAAAACAGCTATGTGGAGAATGTCACAGATCTGTGGGTTTCCCCGACCAAATCACACCCCAGTTCCTGTGCCCCGCCACCAGCCCGCATCTGAACCTGGTGTCAGCTCCCTGTTTCTTCATTTAATTGTGAAGGAGTCGTACACTAGATTCTTGCTCTTCTTGGCTCAGCTATCCATCCAGATACGATATTGGAAAGGTTTTCCCGTCCTTGCTAAGCCAGGAAGCCAAAGGTAGGCCAAGAGCTCTCCAATGAGAGGCGGTAGGCGGGTGCTCCTCCTGCGCCTATGAAGTATCCAAGCAGTAAGAAGCCTCGATGGGCCCATTTAGCTGGAGGAAGTTGCCAGAGCCCTAAGGCTGACACCTGGGATAAAGTCAGCAGCTTTCTGAAACCAATGAAAGGCGACCGGCCCCTCTACCCACACAACCCGGGCGCTCATGCCAGAGGAGGAGACGCTGCGGTGAACAGGGAATGTTTCATGTGAATCATGGGTTTGGAGCAGGATTGTGTGGATGGAGCTTCTTGGAGAAAAATGTTGGAACGGCTACAGACTGGTGAGCTGGCAGTCACAGAGCTGCCACCTCCCTGGGAACGTGCAGATGAGTGTCCTTGTCACCCTGGATAGACGCAGAGTCAGCAGCTAATCAATGAGGTCCCAGGATGGAGGACACATACATCCTGGAACACACAAACTCACACATGCACGTACACACCCACATGCATGTACACACATGTACGTATACACGCACATGCACAAGAAGGCTCAGGGCCCCATCTTCTCGGGCTGGGATTTTTCAGCCTGAGACTCTTGGGTGTTACCCCCTGGGAACAAGCTCCTCTGAAGCCACACGTGGTTGAAACTCCTCTCTCAGTGACAACGTAACGTCTCCCAGGCACTGGCTCCCTTGAGAATGTGTGAGTGGCTCCCCTGGGGCAAAAAGCAACTGCTTGGGGTGACTCACTCGCTCTCAGCCCTGTCACCCATGCATCCAGGCTTCAGTCCATTACTCAGCCTTCTCCCGGAGCTCGCTCCTGCGGCCGCCCCTCAGCCCAGCCCGTTGCTCCCGGCTGGCCACTTTGCCGGGATCTCTCCATCAGACCCGAGCCAACACAA